CTGCTGGAAAGCATTCACTGACACTGGGAATCGTGGCCTGGCAGGGTCCTTGATGTTAAGCCACGAATATCAGAAATCAATTTTGGGGATGGAGTGCTGACCCCTGTGCGTGATGTTAGACTTATACAAGGCCTGACGAAGCAATGCGTAGATATGAACCCTGCTGTAAACTTTTCTAGGCAGAAAAGATGCAACTCTGGCACCTCAGTAGCAAAAACTCTGGATCATCTCATTACAGACAGAGTTTCTGGAACTGCAGCAGTAGAAGAAGTACTCTAATCATCATTCACTTAGGTACTAGCTGGACCAGTGTCAATCACAGTAATATAAGCAAATTATAACATAATGTTATCCATGAATTTTCAATTTTACTGAAAAGTAGTTACAAAAAATCTTTTTAATGAAAATGCCAAATTACATTTGTTTACTACTTAAAATTAGTTTGATGGTTGAATGTTACGCTGGGTTAATTCCAGACTTCTCAGAAAAGTCCAGTGTTTGAATATAAAAACACGAATTCAGCTTATTGTTAATAAAACAACATCATTTTTGGTTTTAAATAAAAGATTTCTAAAATTTGCATGTTTTCTTGCTTGCATTTAAATTTGGTCAGCAATGTATAAGTAAGATTTGAATTTAGTTTGCTGAAGCGGGTCTAATTTTAATACATAAGAGAGCTTCTTTATCTGAATCTGCAAATAAATGCTGTGGATGAAAATTATTATATATTATATATATATGATGGGAAATCCCAGATTAAGCACAATTTCAATACAGAGCTAAATAAAAAACAAAACCCAAATCCGTCATAAACTGAGCACAACTCAGTACAACAAATAGAATCAGTGGAACAATAAGCTCAGCATTATTGCCTTGCTGCAGTTATATTTGTCCGTTCCTTTTATAGAGAAAACAAACAGCAAACTGCTGTGTGCATGCGGCCCTCGAGTGACCCTTCTCCGCCACACTCATAATCAAAACATTTCTTGTTGTGTAACAAAATATTTTCAAAGCACAGCAGCCCAAAAACCAGAACATTCGCTTGTGAGGCTCACATCGGTGCGAGGGTTCAGGGTTTTTACTGCCTAAACACAACAATTAGCCATACATTAGATGTGGTATATGGGCCATGTAAATGAGAGGGAAAGCAATAGCAAACACACCATTAAGCTGATGGAATGGGGCCACACAAAGCCTGACTCCCTCCCCAACACGCCAATTAAACATGTCAGCGTGCTTTCAGCATACAAACCATTCCAGCAGGGAAGGTGAAAAAAGTCGAAGCTCGATCAGTGAAGGCGTCGCTTGTGAGGAACTTTAGTAATTTGACGTGCATATTGCGCCATCTGCTGGTAGGTTCGCATAAAGCATGCAGACTGCACGCTCACGTTTAACAGCGAAACTACCTCTCCCTGTCAGTCATAAAAACGCTCAGGTGTGTCCCCTTTGAATGCGCATTCTGATGCGACAGAGGGTCAGGTGAGTCCAATATTAAAAACAAACCAAATCATTCCACGTAAAGAGCATCCACTCCGAGCATTAAAGAGCAATCAGGGGAAAATAAACAGAAGAGCCCTCATGCAAACAAGACCAATTTGACTGGCTCCTCGATGACGGGAACCCAGTTGACAGGCGAATTAGACACAGTGATTTAACTAGAAATAAATAAACACTTGGACAAATCCATCTGAAAAGCTTTCAGGCTTATTTCACACTCCACATGTAAATGTTGCAGCAGCGGGGCGGGCTATTACATATCTGGTATTTGGCAGTTAAGTGTGTGTTTAATCCACTGCTAAAATGACCTGGGAAGTCAGAGCCACAAACAGCGGGTACTTCATTTTGTATTCAGCTTCACTTGAACTATTTTTATTTATTGTTTTTACTGGAAAGTTGCATTTGATGTGAAAGCTGGCGGGCAGAAGATGAATTAAGATGAGGAAAATGAAATCATCGTGCTGTCACGCTCAAAAATGAAAAAGAAAAAAAACACTAAACAAAACCATATGTGTCCTATCTTTATATGTATTGGTTTATTGGTGCAACACCTTATTGAGACATATGGAAATATACATGGAAATACAGTATGTAAGTCAAAATAAGGGACTGTACTGTTCTCTTGAGCTTGAAAGTGAATATTTGGCATAAATACCTTCATCACAGCCTGAACTCTCTTGGACAGGTTGCAATAAGATGTCAGTCTTTTAGTAGTCTTCGGTTCTCGAGGTTTCCTGAAGGACATTCAAAGCTCTTCTTTGGATGTTGGCTGCTTTTGTTGCATTCTCTGTAAATATGATGACACACTGTTTAAGTAATGTTGAGGTTCAGGCTCTGGGGAGGCCAATCCATGCCTGATTCCAGTATTCCATTGTGTTTTTTTTTTATCCCGGGATGCAGTGGTAATGTGTTTGGGATCACTGCCATGCTGAAAAATGAAGCTGCTGACGATAAGACATTCTTCAGATGGTGTTAGATGAAGGATGAAAATCTGATGGTATTTTTCTCTGATCACAATTCCCCCAATTTTAACATTTCAGATCCCCAACACCAAATTCATTGCTCCAGTACTTGGATAGATTTTTCCCCTTAAGAACATGGCTTTCAGGTGCTTTTCATCTGCTGTAGACAAGTTATAGACATGCCACTTGTCCTTTTGACCTCCACTTGTCCAGTTTACTCAAATTTTTATCACCAAGCCAAGAAAATCCTAAACTTTCAGCTAATAGCTCTTTTGGAATCAGTGCAACAATGCAATTTTATGCCTGTCAAAATGTGTTAACTTTGTCCTTTTTCATAAATTCACCAAAGGAAATGGGAAAAAAATGAGTATTTTTGTGACAAAATTGATTCTTTTTAAGTTGTGTGGTTTGTGTATCTGGATCAAGGTTCCTTTTATATGCTTGGATAATTTATAATTCAATGTTAAATGGTGTGATTCAAACAAACAAAAGGCATTCCTTTGAAAATGGTCAGGTACACGCCATGGACTGGACTTAAAATGAAAAAAAAATAAATTAAAAAAACTTGAAAAGCAAAGAAATGAAGGCTGGCTCAAGACTTCTGCTGTATTTATTATGTTTTTATTTTTTTACTGGTTATGGTGAAATGGTTTTGCTGGAGTAGTTTAGATCAAAAAGGGGTTAAATGAAGTCTGATGCCCTGGCTTTAAATTGTTCACCATTTGGAAACCATACATACTCACCGGTGAAGGTTTAGTTCAGCTGTGCACAAGCAGCTGGAAACATCTAGTCTTGGTTTGCCCAGTAACAAAAGCAACTGGCTCCACTGGCATGGATGTTTAAGCATTTGGCAACCTGGCTCTAAAGCTGGAACTGGAGACACATTTTTTAAAGACTTGTATGAAAGTTTTCTCTTACATACAAGTGATCAGTTTGTTTTTACGCCTTTTACGTACCTCAAGGTCCAGACAATTCACTGTTATTTGCTCCACACACATCATCCTTCTGTTTCTTTTACGTCACTGATTCTTTGGACAGAAGAGCGCAACTCTTGTTTGTTTGTAATATCAGTGATCTGGGAATTCAAGCTTATCTTATTGTTGACTGACCATTAATTCCTCTGGATGAGTTTCAGCTAAATGCCGGCAAATTTAAATACAAAGAGGATTTTTAAGCCAACAAAAGTTACAGTAATTGGAGTCTCAAATCAGACTCTTCAGATGTAAAATTAACTTGGCAACCAAGCGTCTCTGCTGAAAATTGATAGAATGCGACAAATGCCATCAATTTTAATGAGTGGTTATGATAAACAGAGCATATCCATTCTGCAAGTATTACAGAGTAAATGTGTTTGTCAGGCCAAGCTAGTTAAGAAGCACACGAGTCATTGTGATTTTCCATTTAACAGATATAAAGACGGAATAAACAAACTATCGCTACAGCGGCTGCAGCTTTCTCTCTGGATCTCCCAGCAAGCTGCAGCACTGCCAACCCGAGTAATACCCTTACGTTTTAACAAGGCAGACAGTTCATTCCGAGTCTATTAGACTCAGCATCCAATTATAAAATGTCTCCAAGATATATAAATCCAACTCATCCCCTTTAATATTTTACTTTTGGGACAGTGTTTGGTCTGACTGCTGTCTGACTTTATTTTAATTATAAGATGAAGCGCACTCCCCTTCTGGCTAAAAAAGGTTATTGCACGTTCAAACTAGTGTAATGATCCATCCAGGGAGTTATGTTGATCCCTTTCACACAATTGCTTCAGTAGCCGTTGTATTGTTGTGGCAGTTTTACTTGATTGGAATAACTTCAGCTTATGACTTATCCACTACATTTTAGAAGGACTTTAATCCACTGCACTCATCTGTCGTTGCTGATTGAAATTTGCAGTTTAAGGCTTTACAAATCAGATGAATAAGAAGATGCATTTATGAAATCAAGACTTCAACAGATTCTATTTGTGCATTGGCTCCTCAATAATTATAGTCCAATATAACAGGCAGAAATTCAGAAATAAACACTGTATTAGTATTTAAATATATTCGTCAAGTTCTTATTTTTTTAATGTATCGCAGCAGTGCAGAGCAATGATGTAATAATTCTTTTGCTCAGAAAGCAAACAAACATCAGTAGATGACAGCGAATCCACTTTCATGTCTTCTCGTTCAGAGAGCTAAACTTTAAGTAAAGATCAAACAAGCAGAACTTTTTGAGTCACTTATATTTGGTATTGGTTCATGTCAGAGGTCAGAGGAGAATGGCTGGACTGCTTTGAACTCAAAAAACCACTTGTGGCAACTAAGGTGTGCAGAAAAGCATGTTAGGTAACAACAGGAAACTGAAGCAATGATTCACATGGGTTCATCAGAAAAATGTTGCCTGATCTAACAAGTCTCAGTGTGTTCAGAATGTGGCATAAATGACACGATGCAGGGATCCAACCTACCTTGTACCAACAGTTCAGGAAACAAAACAACTCTTTAAATGATGAGTCAGACTCAGGTGTGTCATAAAGTAAACCTTTAATCTCAGATATACTTTCAGATGTGGTTTTATTACCAGTTGTTAGTTTTACAGGTCATTACAATGGAATGCTGAAAGCTATAGATTATTCAACAAGAAAGTGCACACATGACATCCTTAAGATTCAGATTTGTACATCATATAATAAAATCTGCTATTCTATATTTTTCTATATTATCATTCATATGTATATAAAATTAAAAATTACCTTTAATCAACGCAAAAATTCCATTTGAAAACAAACAAATGACTGACACAAAATAAACAAATGAATTAAAAGGGAACTATAATCCACCGTTTCCAGCTTCTCTGCTTTACGACTAAGAACATCAAACCCATGCCTGATAATAAGGCCCTTCAAGAAGTACATTCCTTTATCCTGTGACGTTTCGGCTGACAATCGCACACAGCGTGTACAATCCATCACTATCATTATTGCTCCGTCTGTAACGTTTGTGTTAAAAGATAAAGGTACCGCTTGACTAAAGTGCTCAGCATTAAATAGTGACACACAACAGAGCCTAGTAAACACGAATGAAGACGGAAACAGTCTTTGGATGGCGATGTAATGCCACTGGATGCCATTACAGTGCTGATAGGAACATGTGTGTCATTCTCAGATTACTGCCTTTAATAATCATTAGCCTCATACTGCCCAGCTGGTGAAATGTTAGGAGTACTTCGACGGCCAGTGTTTTAGCATGTCTTAGCCCATGTAGTCATAACCAAATTAGTGCTTACATTTATTGTGCTGCCCTTTCTTGCCAAATCTTCATTAATATCCATCAATACTAACATAAGACCCAACAGATATGTTGAATGGGAGGAATCTCCACTATATTAGTGCATTTCAAAAATCTATCAGATGCAGATGCTGACTTGACCTTTGGAGTGACTGAGCTGAAGATTTCACAGAGATTTGAGATATTGTAGTCAATGAACAGAAAACGATAGCTGCCTGGAGATCAAGGAAAACACAAAACTATTCAGGGGAAAAAAAGCATGCAAAAGCTACTTTAGGTTAATTTGGTTGATTGTTGGTTGGAACACCGAGTGAGTAATAAAGCTTTACTTATACTTTGAAGCAAGTCAGTCCATTTCTACTCTGTAAAGCTTGAACTCCACCTTTCAAAGCACAGATGACAAATGCTTCCAAACTCCTGGTAAACGTAAACATAAGATGGAGAAAACGCACAGTACAGCCTTCTGAAAAGCACATGAAATGACGCAGTGCACAACATCAGATACAATACTTACAATAAAAACTTTCACACTGGAATAAGCTCATAAAAAACAACGCTTTAAAAGAAATGAAAGAACAAATAAAGCACATGGTGTGTTTCAATGAACACAGAAATATGACAAGAAAACAAAAAGATGAAATCAACACCGGCGAGCCAACGCCGTTGATTCTGTAAATTCAACATCACAACTTAAATCTAGAAGGACACTCGGACAGCACATCTTCTGCAAAGAACAAAGATGGATTACCCAACAACGATCCCGATCCTCACCAAACTTTTACAATCACTTCTATTTTGCACACACTCCAACTCTTTGCATGAAGTGTGATTAAGCTTCGCTTGGTAGTTTCTGCATAAACTTGCTGACAAGAACAAATGGCACCGATCCCAAACATCCGGCTCTGCTCTCGCACCGCTTGATGATCGATTTATCAGTGTAGAAAAACATTCAGTGAGCAAGAAGCAAAAATGTGAAGAATGTATGAAGAAAACAGGCAGTTTAACTTTAAAAGGCTTTTGTTTTTTTGTTCGTGCAACAAGCAAAACAAAGGCAAGAGTGATCATTACATGACGTTTTGTAATATATATGGTTACAATAAAATAGGTTCTTCTATAGGCTGTATGGCTTCTGTTTAAAGTTTTCTGCACCAAACATTACCCTCCATGGAGTGTGATAACGTTTGCCCAAAATATGCATTTGGTATGAAAAATAAAGGTTTCTCTCTTTTTTCTTTTTTCCTTTTTTTCCTTTTTTGGAGAAATTCAACTCTTTGGAATAACATAACAATACAATATAAAAATTAACAATGTGGCGTCTTGTTATAGGAACTGCTTTAATCTAAATGTGCCTCCTTTGGCTTCCCTCTGCGTGATCACATGCACAGGTATTGTGAGCGTGTTGTAATTGGACAGAATTTGAACACTGGGACCTGCTTTGCATCTAAACAGTTAAACATACTAATAAGTAGGAGTCCTTTTAGAAATGTATTACTTGCTGCAACTTTCCTAAAATCTAATAGTCAGATTCTGCAAAGCATTAAAGGGTTAAGAGCAAAGTGCCTTTAAGTTGCTAAAACTTAGATCACCTGGGACGATGATAAAGAGATGTAGAGAAACGGCTCTCAGGATTTCAGCAATTTCAGTTCAACGCCAATTTAGACGGCCATAAAAGCTGCGTGTAAATATTGCAGCCTTTAAGGGAACTTTAAAAAGAGGAGGTTGGAGGGTTGTTCTGCCAGTCAGGTTCTGGTACAATTCTTTGGTCTTTGACCACATCCTTGTTGACATTTTCACCACATATCTCCTGATAGTCTAACAGACATGCTGACATTTCAGAGCAAAGGGAAATTCAATTTAGTCAGGAAACAGGGAAATGAGATGTTTAAAGGTCTGTGAGCTGTAACTGATTTTAGACAACCAAACTCAACTGCAATGGTGTAGCTATGCTGAGATTTACTCCCTTTCACACGCATTCAGATGAGTGCATGTGATCCCCTGCTACAGTAACCACGTCTAGAAATTTGCAGATGATGGGAGGAGGAGCTAAGGACAGTCAGGCGCTTCTATTCTTTCCTCGGGTGTAACGTGAGGTTTGTGGTTTAAGAACCTTGAAAAGGGTTCCGTTGTTAATTACACCAAGAAAACAACCAAATTCATCACTCGATTCAAGCGATATGATTTTAAACCCATGAGTTGTTCTTTCACCCGCGTCTAATAACTCTGTGGCATCGGCCACTGTCCTTTTGTTGAATTTAACCAGACAAGCAGGAATCAGCAATTTATCGCATCAGTAACTTAAATAACGAATGTTATATATTCCAAATCACTGAGTAGCTCTGTAAAAAGATGTGGATGTATTTTACAAACACACTGCTCAACCATAAAGAATATCAAAGAAACACTAGACTCAGTTTTCATGCCTGCAGGTAATGTTTCAGTCTTGCTTAGATGTGCAAAAAACTCTAGTTAAGTGTAAAGACTGTCTTAATGCCAGGGGTAGATTTAACTTTGCCTTCAGCAATGATGTGTATAAGCCATAATTTATGAATGGTATTCATTAATATAGCTTTTTTGTTTAGTCTGAATTTGTTACAGAGCTGCACAGAGTTAGATTTTTTTTTGCCATGACATGCCTGCAGTCTTAGCTTTTTAAAGAAGGTTAGGAGGCATGGACTGATTTCTGCACAAATTAACCCTCAATTCTCAACTCTTGTTATATCCCTCAACAATAATGCGAGGCAAAAATGTTTCTCAATGAGGCCAGTTACAAAAAAAAAAAGGTTAAAGGTCTTTAAAATACATATGGGTCTAAAATATGAGTGTGAAAGCTGATGGGCAGTATATTAATAACATCTACTTTGACAACTCTACTGATGCTTGAGTGAGTTTTAAAGGGTCTTATTAACTGAAAATAAAACATACATAAGAGGATATGACAATATGTGATTTAACTTGGGTGGAGAATTTATATGTATACTGGCAGATCAAAACATCTGTACTGCTTTACGGCCTAAGAAATTTGTAAAACTCTTCGGGTTTGTAGGTGTTGTAGACCCCATAAAGTCGCTCAACAGACAGGAAAACAACTGTGGTTTACACAGCGACTAAAAAACATCCAGCTTTCAACCCATAACCCACAAACAGATGTTTGCGTCCCTGAAATTAAAGTATGTCATAAAAAACAGATACGATTTTTAAAAATGCACCAAGTGAAAAGGTTTGACATCAAATAAGGCCTAGAAATTTCTAAAAAGCTACAATCTAAACAATTGGATGCCCAGGAACTTTAAGTGACAGAATGACGGCGAGAAACTCGAGTGCAATAAAAGTCAAAGCTAGGTTGAAGTCGTTTTTGTGGCTTACCCAGCAAGTGAGAACGTGGTTTTTGAAGACAGAAGCTGTAAAAACATGACCAAACATAAAACTAACAACACTATCATCAAGACGAAAAAAAACAGTCTGATGCTAAAGTAAAAACAAGATCGTCTGAAACTGGAACAGTCCAAACCTTTGGTAATGCATAGTTCTTTCCTGAATGTCTCAGACTTTCATCAAAACCCTCCACCATCTCCAGCTGTCGCTCTACCACTGCTACCTAATAAAATAAAGAGCAATGAGAATCACAAACTAATGACTCTTCCCCCTGCCGTTCTCAGGAACTCTCCTTTTGCTTTTTGTTTCCCGTTCATACAGCATTTGCAGTTTTGGCTTGTTGGTTTCTGAACCAAAGAGATAATTTAGAGCAGAGCGGTGAAGCAGCCCTCTTCCCTCTAACTAGTCTGTCGTCTCAGGGGAGGAAGGCCCCATCCTCATCTTCGTCTGCACTGGGACCAGGGTCGCTCAGACACCTCATTAATCTCTGCTGATCTTTTGCTTCATCCTCTTCACTTGGCTTTTTAGCTTCCCGTGGCCTCGACGGGGGCTTCATCATCAGGCCCTGCTCCTCCTCCTCCTGCTGGTTAGCCTGTCCGAACTCATCCAACAGATTAACTGAGTCTGGAGACTGAGGAGAGGCCAGGTCTACCTGGATCATGGGCACCTTGTTCGATGCAGGCTTAATGCTGTAGGCTTGCGGGTCTATAAGCAGGACACAGGTAGAATATGAGGGATTTCAACTTATTTCACCAGCCTTTAAAAGGGATATAATATCACACAATCATTCCTTCAGCATGCACGAACAAGTACCAGTGGATGTACAAGTAGATGAACAAATATTAAGGGCAACAGAATCACTGCACAAAACTACACAACAACAGGCTTTAGGACCGTTCCCATTATTTCTAGTGTAACAAAAAATAGGGTAAAGTTAGTCATGATCAATTAAAGGTGCACCACATGCCAACTTTCAGTTAAAGTGAAGAACACAAACTGAAACTCCTCACATGTAACATGCTCAACTCCAATATGCTTGGCTACAATAAATCACCTGTACGTGGCTTTTATCAGTTTAGTAATGAGTCACATCATTAGTAATGATTACTGAGTGCTTACAAGCAGGGTAACTGACACATGCGTGTTAGAATTGCTCATGTGATAGCACGGCTTACGATTAATCTTCTCTACGCTCACAACATACCTGAACACATTTTGTTTCCTTTTTGCACCTGATCAGGTTTGAAATCAGTATGTTTGCCTAAAATAAAACCACAGATTGTTTTACATGCTGGCTGGCACATGCAAACACATTTCTATTAGTGGGGAAATATCTGTTGCAGCTGGGAACGGTAATAGTGTTTCTATGGTCTTTATTGCTCTGCAAATGGTATCGTGTGACCCTAACGAAATACAATCTCTGAATCTTCTGTGTCCCATTAAAGACATTTTCTTACATTATTTCAGGAGGTACCTGAAAGTAAGATGGTTGAGACTACTGGCTGTTTTCATTTGGCTGGAGCTAAGAATGATTCAGACATGCATTTACCTGAGGCCAGTCTGGCTCTGCACATGGTCGGGGAATCAGGGGGAGGGGCAGGGACCGTCAGGTAGGTATTCATCTCCTTTAACTAGGAAAAAAAAACAAAACAGATATTGTTGGTGTGGGATGGTTTAGCCTTCTCCATGTAATCAAGCAAAACATATAATACAGTGTTGTACAAGTGTCAAAAACTGGCCATAGAAAAGGGGTGCAACACTTATTGAAACATGGAAACATGCATGAAAATACAGTTTATAAAGACAAAAATAGAGTTTGTACAATTCTAACAAGCCTGAAAGTGAATATTTGCTATGACCACCTTTCTTCTTTAGCACTGACTGAAGCCTCTTAAGAAAGCTTTCTTGTAATTTCTTTAGTAAGTTTTCAGTTCTCCAGGTTTCTTGCAGGACATTCAAAGCTCTTCTTTGCATGTTGGCTGGATTTTTTGGCTGTTAAAGGTGATCCCACACTGCTTCAATAATATTAATATTTGGGCTGTGGGACAGCCAATCCATCATTGACAGTGTGCCACTGTGTAATTTTCTCTCCAGGAATGCTTTTACTGCAATGGCAGTGAGTTTGGAATCGTTGTCATTCTTAAAAATGAAGCTCTTGCTAATCAGAGGCCTTGTATATGATATTGCATGCTGGATCAAAATCTGATGGTACTTTTCATTCATAATTCCATCATTTTTGCCCAACACAACCGCCTGAAACTTAGCCCCAAACCATGACAAAGCCTCCATTGTGCTTTACAGATGGCTGTCGACACTCACTGCTACTCCATACATACCGACAACGATTTGATCCAAAACTTTTCTAATATAAATTCATCACTCCAGAACACCTGTTGCCAATGACGTTCAGCCCAGTCGTGTAATTTGTCCTACCTCAGCCTTTTCTCCCTACTATCTTTCCTTTGGCTCTTGACAACCCCTCTTTCCTCTGAGACCATTTCTGATGAAGCTTTAGCAAATAGTAGATAGATTAACTGAAGGGCCAGATGCATCTCTTAGGTTCTTTCTCAGGTCTTTGTTGAATTCTTTCCTATTTATTAAGGACATGACTTTCATATTGCTTATCTGCTATAAGCAGTTTTTCTGTCCTCCACTTGTCCAGTTTCCTTAATTTTTAAGGACACTCTGCACACCAGGCTGAGCTGTGCCAAGTTTCTGGCTAATATCCCTTTGTGAAATCACCCCGTCTGTCAAATTGTATTAAATTTTCCATTTGTCACAGATTCAACAAAATAAAAAAGGAAAAAATTATGCGTTTTTGTGACAGGCTGCTAGTGCCTTTAATGCATAAAAATACAATTTAAAACTGATTATTTGCTAAGTTGTCTGGTATGTGCAGACACAACACTGGTTCATCCCTCGAGTTAGGTGTTTTTTTTATGCCTGAATGATTCATCCCTCACTGTTAAGCAGCTTACAACACACAAATAACAAAACAAAACAAACAACAACACTGCTCTGAAAATAGTGAGGTAAAACAAAATGGGTGGAAAAGCACACAATCTTCAAAGACAAACTTTGTCTTTAGAAAGGCTGAAGAACTATTGTTCAAGATCACTTTTGGGGGAATAAAGCCTGACTCCTTGTACGCAAAACAAAGAAACGTGGGTGACTTGAGACTTTTGCACAGTTCTATATCTAAACATTCAAAATCAGTAATGTACAAAACTCAGATGGCAAGAAATCCAGTTTCTGTCTCATGTAATTGGTTGGAAAATACAGCAACCAAACTGAACCAGCTCAGAGATAGAGACATCATTAATCAATGTTATACAGAAACTTTATTAAAATTATGTGTCGCTTCATTAAACTCTGCAGACATCAGCTTGAGCCTACAGTAACTTCTAGCACATTCAATTTAGCCTAAACAGAAGTCTATTTTTATTATCTAATTACAGGCTGGCTAAAATGAAAATAATCACAGAACCACTCAACTGTGAGAATCAATCAGCTCCTATTTGTGACAGGAAAATTAATTTAAGAGAATGAGGGTGGACTCTAATTAAAACACAAATCATAGTTTTAGTTGAATCATTATACTGTTGGCTACCCAGTACAAAAAAAAAAAAGGTAGAAAAACTGCTCCTTTGGTTCTATGAAATATACTTTGAGTCACAATCGGTTGTTTTCTTCAATACAGATTTATTTATTCTGGCAAAATGTTTGTTCGAAAAAATTCGACTTCAAAAACTGAAACTTACCTTCTTCTCTATCTGAAACATCTTTTGCTTCTTTAGGAATAAATCGCTGAGTCCATCCTCGTAAGGATCGGCCACCAGTGTGTGTCTGTTATACGAGCGCAGCTGAGAAAGACAGACACATGAACACACGTTAAAGAGATTGCAGTCCTGCAAACATCACTGCACATTTAGGCAGGTTATGATCAGAACTAATAAAATTATTTTCCAAACTAAATAAATTAATTTTGTGTCCTTTAACAAAAAAATAAAAAAAAAATGTGCAGAACTAATTATTTTAACTCCAAGTCTATCTCAAAAATCAATAAATGTGTTATGAACTAATGGGAGGGAGATCCCTTGTGAGCACCAATCAATACTTATTATGGAATGCTTAACTCCCATTGAGACAAGGGCAATTTTTCATCCAGATGAGAAACAAGCATATCAATAAAGAGTCTAACTATTCATTTGTAAGCAAAGTTACCCTCTGTCGTGTCCTCTGAAGGTTGGTCCTGAGGATTTTCCGGATTTCCTCCTCTTTGTTTTTAGACAGCTGTGGAATAGCTCGCTCTGGTGCAGGCTTGGTAGAAGGCCTGGGCTGGATGTTCCTGACAATGACACAGGGGGGGGGGAATAACAGTGTTTGTATAGCACAACAGTTACACAACTTAAATGTGTATAAACACATTGATGATGCTTAAAGATTAGACACATTTGATGAAGCACAGCTACTTATCTTTCTGCACAACATAACACAAGGGATTTTCCTTTGTGTTAATACTACTGTTTCCTACTGTGCACACACCATTTCACAATTGGTGAAGATCGACTCACTTACACTAGAAATTAAGACTAGTCAAGGATCCTTTAGTGATTTAACACTGATTGCTTATCCTTCTTGGATAATACAACTATCCAAGAAGACCTTTACAGTTACCAAACACTCCTTGTTACTTGGTAGAAGAAAAACAAGAGAGAAGGTGTTGTTTATACAAAAGTATTAGCAAAGAATCTGTAATGCATCAGTGGCCATTTAAGCATGAGCCATTTCCTGTCATCAGTCTTCCCAACTTCAAAGCTATGGACAAACCCAAAAGATAATAAAAAAAAGGGCTAAAAATGTCTTTAAAAAATGTATAATTATGTACGAACACACACACGAAGAATGAGCATATATATGGTCATATGTTCATTTGTGTCTCATGTTTATGATATCAGTGAAATTTAAGCCTGTCAACTTTTTTCTGTGGTTATGTATTACACCACCATATCAGGCCTTAATGTCACTACTGTTGTACAATTTAGTGAGTAGATGAATTGCGTTCACCTAAATGTTCCCAACACTGTAAAAAAACAAACAAACAAACAAAAAACATTACGATAAAAATGACTTTGAGCACGATGCTGTTTAGCACTCACTGCATGGAAACAGTGGAAGGCACAGCAGAAGGCATCTTGATTCCCCCTCCACTCTCCACCAGCTGAATGGCCTGTTTCATCTCCATCTTGTGGTAGAAGGCAATGAGCTGCGGCTCCTTGGAGCGTTCGCCGGCAATCAGGCACTTCTTCACATACTTCTTGTTGAAGCGGTTCAGTCTGAGAGGACAAAGGGAGCGAAAAATTAAGACAGAGACAAAGAGTGAAATACATGAATTAATTACTGGCAACAGCATTTCTGCATTTATAGACATAAATAAATATGTTGTAATTAGATGAAGAAGAGGCCAAGTTCAACATTTTCAATTTTGACAATTAACAAGTTTAAAAAAAAAAAAAAAAAAAAGAGCAACTACTAAATATTTCAAACTAGTCGATACATACAAGTAATTTGTAATAAGTATTGTTACAGTTAGCTGTGTTTGAGTTATAAAATTAATAATGTTATGTCAGATTGATTCTCTTTAAAATCCATACTTGTCCTTCCAGTGGTGATGTCCATAGTGTCCACAGATATCCTCGATGCCAGTGAGTAAGTGGTCAAGGAACTGGGGATGGGAAAAAGCCACAATAGTTGCTGAAGAGCCTTAAAATTGTACTCCAGAATGAATCAGACTTTCTGGACTCTACTGACCCAGGTCCTCTCTGGGGAGAAGTCTCATATATAGTAAAACAGGCTCAGAGTGGTGCAAAGATGCAAAAAGTAACCCTCCATCTATTATAAATTACATCCAAAGGAACATATTACATTTACTGGATTTAGAGCAAATTTCTTTTATGTAAGTAACAATTGCAAGTTTCTATATTTTGCATCCCTCCATCTACAGCATACCACTTGAATGTGAAAGTATTTGTCGTGTAACCATGATTACATTCACTCTTATACTACACTCAATACTCAGCTACATCTTGTAATTCTTGCATTACTGCTGTTACATTTGTTGTAAACACCCTCTGAGATTAGTCTGACATCATCATCATCATCGTTGTACTAAACAGCAGCCGACAATTCAGGTTAAAACAGAATCTATGAGATATGACCAGCAGCAGCAGCAGCCAGGTGATTGATTTGACAGGATTTCTTAACAGTGGCACCATGCCTGCTCAGAGAACTGAAGAAACACACCAATGGATTTGTTGCTCAGCCTGCAGCTGGTTCGCCAATCAGACCGGTGCTCTGACTAAGCCTGCAGATGACAGTCTGACAGTCTGTGTTGCTATGGGAACAAGTCATTAAGCAGAACTGTGCAATCTACTTCTGCTTTGTCAGGAGTAACTGATTCACATAAAGACTGACTGCCCTGAACAGTGGGGGTTAAAAGGTCTCATTTTTAAAAGCGGCAGCAATGGATGCTAAATAATGAAAAGATCAATATATAGGGATCCATTCTGTAATGTTCTTCAGCTACAAAATCCTTAACTGTGGGGTTTCTCCTTAGACCAGCTTATGTCTATTCAACACCTCAATACAGAAACCAGTACACTGTGTCCGATTTAACTCTTTATGACCACACCACATTATGTAGTGATAACAATCTTACCATCTCAAGGTGATATTTTCCTTTTCAGCTCTATAGTTATACAAACGGAATATAATTTACATTCTGATACCAATGCCAAGCTGAGAAATGTATCCCAGCAGCAATGTACTGGGAAATGAAGAAAAGCAACCAAACACAATGGAGATGGCAGAAAATGGGCTAGTATGCAGATTATTTGCCACAATATAACTTCGTGCAGAGTTTCCTCAAGCATCTCAGTGAATCTAACCTCTGGTGTTTTACAGTGAAGGGCAAGCCGTTAGGGCTGCCTGCCTATTTTGCATCAAAAGCTGGTGACTCATAGATGCCTGTGTGCATGTTTGTGTGTCTGCTCATGTGCAGTCTAATTTTCTGAGATGGGTTAATGACTTTAACAGTAGGTCAGTGAACCACTGCGGTTAAAATTTCTAGAGTATCAAAAAGTACAGATACCAGACATGCTTTTGGATGTGATGAGTTTGACTTAAATCAGACAGTTAAAAGAAAAAAGGAGAAAAACTGTACGACCAAAGTGTTGGTATTATAGTACGGGTCACCAAAAACTAATTTTATGATCCAAGTGTGAATTGACAATCACTGCGTGTACATCAAACACGTTATACAACTATGCAGTACCACCACACTGTCAGTAGGTGGGAGCAACGACCAAAGTTTGAAAACCTAAACGACCTCAGAGGCCTCATTTCACATATCCTCCTGAGAACCAGGCTATTCATTTATGTCCTCTCTAATGGGCATTTGTTTTTGGTCTATATCTTTTGACTTATTTGAGCTACCCTACCAAGGCCTGATGTACTAAATAGAGGACATCCTTGGCTTTCTCATGTGTTTGTGTGGCCTCTTCTAGCTCCAAAGAGGCAGGAGATTACAAAAAAAAAAAAAGTTCAATGGAAAGATTCTTTTTTCCTCAGCTCTCAGGAGGATATTACATAACTACCACTGAAAGGAATGTGTAACACCTTTCTTGCCAAACATATGCTTGTTAGCTTAAGTGGTGATTGCAATTTGCCCATAGGTGTGGCTACGTGGGTGCCTGGATATCTATTTCTCTGTGTTAGCTCTTACATGGACTGGTGACCTGTCCAGGTTTTACACTGCCTCTCACCCACAGCTGTGATAGGCTCTAGATTCCACTGACCCCAAGTTTGATAAGCAGCTAAAAAAAAGGACTGATTGACGGTTGGGTGGATGTTGCACACATTCCTTGCAATATAAAGTGGCTCGAGGTGACTGTTTGGTGCTACATAAATAAAACTGCATTGAACTGAAATTCCACTAGTTCAAATAATTCCAGTATTTGTCAAATACATCCCAAAAGGTTCTGAGTCATCTGTCTGTGCAATCACTGCAACTGACAGTTGACTGCTGTGAATGGCTGAAGGCAGAAGGCTGTACCTGGGTGTGGATCTCTTCATTAATGGAGCGTTTGGCCTCTTGTTTTTTCTTCACCGCCAGCAGCTCCACCAGGGGTTTGATGGTCATGCCCTTCAAGGAGGATAAGAGGAAGAAAACATTATGCAATGTACACACCTCCCTACAGTGGTTAACGTGGTAAAGACAGAAACATATCTGCATCTACCCGTCTGTTCAAACAATTAAAACTTATTGTAGTGTTTTTCTAACATTTCTGCATCTCTTTGTCAAAGTCATGAAGAAGCTCCACACTTTTTAAATCAGATCAGTCCCGGTTACCAAAATCAGCTGAAGGCTGAGTAGTGTTACAATGCACATTTGTTAGAAAATCCCACAGCACATAATATTTTGGAATGTACAGGAAGTCCCAGATTTCAACAAAATCATGTATAACTAGTTTGTTACATAGTAAATGTAAAAATGGAGCTAAAAATTTGCATAACACGAACAAGTCTTCTGTACGGGTCTCCCTTCATCCTCCCCATCTAATGTTTGTTTTCATGTTTGTAAATATATCTGCTTTTTAAACTGCAAACATTGAGAAATAACAAAAAACAGAAACAAACATCAGCATCTTTCATTTTCTTAATTAACTTTCACTTAGTTATACTGGAAATGTTCTTATGTTATTATATGGTATGATTAAACCGCTCTGCACCTCGGCAGCTTGAATGTATCATTCTGCTTATTAAACAGATTAAGACAGCCATCTGGTTAACGGTAATGGCATAAACTGGATGACAGAGGATTCCTGCTGTTTAATAATACAGGCATGTATGCACAGGATTCCTTTGCCTTTATCACCTCATGTTTACTCCATACATATATAAGGACTAATATACAAGAACTTTCAAAGATGACATTCCTTTCTTCAGGGAACTTGCGATTTGATTAAAATGCTGCACTTTCACCTCATTGGCACAGCTAATCAGTGTCAGACTGGCCCAATAAGACTGATTGTATTTTTTAACAATTTGCCATCTGAGCCTGAACAAAAGACCCATTATTTTTAGTCTGAGTGAATTTTATCATGTTTCTACACTTGTAACAATGCCTGCTCATAATTACAGAAATATAACACTCTCTGTACTGTAGTTTAACATTTAACTACATTATAAACATCATGAATGTCCTACCAAACGAAATAGTTTCACGTGGCCATCTTGAATAAACAGTCATGCCAGTTAAAACATCACTGACACTAAATTAGACATTTAGCCATGACCAAGATCATAAATCCAGACTTGTTAAGGGCTCAGTTCTTAGTGTAATGGCCACGAGGAGACAAACACAAGTAACCCAAAAAAAGGGAAATCTCATTCATATGCCGACTGACAAATAAAATAATGAAGCTTTTCACTTCATATCAGTAAAACTTCCAAATAACAATGCTCATGCAGATACAGACACAAACTAAACCTTGGAGGTAAAAGAGGCTTCTAATTACAAACTCCTGGTCTGCGCTGGCGACAGAACCAGAGTTCCAGCAGCATGAATAAAATATGTTTGAAATCTAAGTTTTAAAGCGAGAGAATGTGCTTTCAGGGTTTTATTTTAGTTGCTGGCTGTCTGGGGCCAAATAACCTCTGAAAATCTTCCTACAATCCCACCTGGAGACTGGTTTATCTGACATGGCTAAGTGATGCACCGCAGTGCTTAAAATAACCAAAACACAATGCATGTGCAACACTGAATGTGTCTTTATCTTGAATTCATGTTTCCAGAACCAAGCTTTCAGAGCAAAACTGCATGTCTTTAGACCCATATCTCTTACTCCTTCACAGTTTTTGCATTTGATCTACAGATTTTCTCACTTGCATTTGTGTTAGCGTACACACCTACAACACAAAATTACATTTTCAAAAATAGGAGCTCAGAGAAAAGAAAACAGGAGTTGAAGCTGAGGAACTGGTGTGATAAAAATAGGCTTTTTTTTTTTCCTAAGGGAGGAAGTAATAAGCCTCCTTCTGCAAATATGCTCTATGAAATATTTTTTATTTTAGTTTAATTCTCTGCATGCATGAATGGTTGCAGAAACATTTGTTCTGAGAGACTAAATTGACAGACAAACAGTACAGGAAACATTCAAACTAGATGTATTAGATGCAAATATACTAGACCAAAAGGAGCTCTCTTGCAAAGAGAGATGGACATGAGTGGGTAGAAATACATATCGTGATAACAACTGATGTGATGTCTAACCTACACTTACCAGCCACTTTTCACTGTGGCATTTAAATGATTCTCAGTTGGTATTAAGGATCCAGAGTGTGCCAATAACATGTCTCCCCCCCCTACACAACCAGCAGCACTCTGAACACTTAATACAAGGCAGGGTTGATCAATGCTTTCACATTGTTTACACCAAATTCTGACCCCATCAGCAGCAGCACAAATCAAGACTCAGACCAAACTCCATTTTCCAATCTTTGACTGTCCAATTTTGGCAAGCCTGTGTAAACTGCAGCCTTAGTTTTCAGTTCTTAGCTGACAGGAGTGGTACTTGGTGTGGATTCCTGCTCTAGGATTTGAGTTACTGGTGTCTTCCTTTCAGCTCAAAACAGTCTAGTAATTCTCCGATTTCTGGCATCAACAAAGCATTTTTGCTCCATGAACTGCTCTTTATTGGATATTTTCTCTTTCTCTGTAAACTTCAGAGGGGGCTATGTGGGAAAACCAGCTGATTCTGAATGTTAACACCAGGTTTGTCTGGAACTGACAACCATGGCATATTCAAAGTCACCATCCTGATGCCAGATATGAATTTCAGAAGGCCATCTTTACATCTTGACCAGTGCTTAAATGCACTGAGTTGCTGCCGTGTGAGTGACTGGGTAGATTTGTATTAACAAGCAGCTGAACTGCAGCTGAATATCTAATAAAGTGACCTTTAGGTGTAAAATGGATTTTTATTAAAACTTCTTACAAAAGTCTAACGCCAACTGTTTACAAGTTTTGTGAGGGGTTTTCTGATTAACAAATAAATAAATACATAAATAAATAGAGTACTCATACCTGAACAAACACAGTGAAAAAAATCACAGTGATAATGGCAGTGAGGAAAATTTCCCTCTCAGGAAAGTGCTCTTTGTTAAGCAGGAAACCAAGGGAGAAGGCAATGGCACCTCGCAGGCCACCGTAGGCTATAATGAACTGATCCTTGGTGGTCAGCTTGACAATGCGGAACTTGTTGATTATAAAGGTCAGACCAACAACACCTGGAAAGAACAGTGTACAAATTAGTCAGGCTTTGTGTGTCAGTGATGTTTTAAGTGTTCTAAATGCAATCTTTCTAGTGTCTTTGGATTGCAACAAAAAGAAAGGACGGAAATCTCAGAAGATTTCAGAAGAATATCTAACTTTCTCCATATCTTTCTGTGCTGTTCTAGCTTTGGGTTAACCTCTTAGGGTCAGTTAGAATCTGAGCAATTTTTTCTGCTGTATGAGGAAGGCAAAACATCCACTTGAAAATATTAGGTAATTTTCATGAACACTAATCAACCAAAGCCACTGAAATATGAAAATCTATAAGCAGTGACATAAATGACCTGAAAGGAAAAAAAACAAAACAAAAAAACAACTCTTCAAAATATGAAAAATGCTAAAGCATACACTGTAAAGCATTGAGCACCTCTGTGTGAACTATTAAAAAAAAA